GGGACCATGTGCCGTTTTGCTGAAGAGCCGAGAATTCGGCCTTCATGGCTGTGCGCCAGTGTTCGTGTTGAGATGCCTGTTTGTACGACGTGGGGGTGGAGTTGATGGTTGGAACAGCAGATAAGTCGAAAATGAGTTTTGGTTTGCTTATGCCATCCCGTAGCCTAGTGATCATCGGGTGAACCGGAGGGGGCTGAGAACTTGTGTGACTGGAGGGATTTGTTGATGTTGTAGTGTGCTGAGGAGATGCCCCGTGAATTGGTGAGGAGAGACCTTGTGATGAACTATGAACAATGGGTACCTGTGAAGAAGAATGAGTTAGCTGCGATGTGGGAATAAGAAGTAGTGGATTGTCTGTCCTGGGCGGCGTGTCTTTGGGCCTGTTTGCTGGGGGCAATGTGAACGGGAAGGTATTTTCAACGAATTTGACATGCCGTGATATGTATATACGTTTGGACGGTATATGCAGACATCGATATCCCTTGTGTTGAGAAGAATAGCCTATGAAGATGCACTCGGTGGATCTAGGAGATAGCTTGTTGGTAGCGTAAGGTTTGGTCCACGGAAAACAGAGACAACCGAATGTTCGTAGATGATCGTATGAGGCCTCTTTTCCATGTAGACGATAGTACGGAGTGTGGTTTAATAGGTTCGGGGAAGGTAACCGATTTATTAGGTAGTTGGCCGTAGATACGGCGTCCGCCCAAAGATTATGAGGAAGACCCGCAGCATGAAGAAGTGCCCGAGTGGTGTCGAGAAGATGTCGATGTTTGCGTTCTGCGGTACCATTTTGTTCGGGCGTGTGAGGGCAGCTCACTTGATGAGTGATACCATTGTTGATCAAATAAAGTCGAAATTCGGTGCTGTTGAACTCACCGCCACCGTCTGACCTGAAAGTTTGAATGCTAGAGCCAAATTTGTTTTTAATCATATTATGGAGTTGTTTGAACTTAGCAAGTGTTTCGTTCTTGGAGGTTAGCAAATATAGCCAAGTAAATTTTGTAAATTCATCAATGAAAATAGCATAGTAAAAGAAACCATTCATCGAAGCTATCGGAGCCGGACCCCATACGTCCGAGTGAATTAACTGGAATGGTTTATTACACACAGAAGAACTAGGTAGAAAAGGCAACTTATGACATTTAGAAACGTTACAGGAGACACAATCGTCTAAAAAAGAATGAGAGCCGGCTAATTCTGGTATTTGTGTTGCCAAAGAACTTAGCAACCGAGAGTGAGGGTGGCCCAAACGGGCATGCCATCGTGCCCGAGCATTGTGAGAAACCTGAAACGCAGTGGTATGACATTTGTTTGGAATCCTAATGTGATACAGCCCATGATGTTGAGGTCCCCGGAGAAGCGTTCGATTGTCCCGACGATCCTTAAATTCAAAACCGTTAGCATTAAATGAAACTGAAATGTTATTATCAGATGTGAGTTTAGCAATAGATAACAGATTATGTGAGAGAGAAGGAACATGAAGAATATTGCGAAGTTTCAGCTTACGATATGAGTCAGGTAGAGGTAGGATTCCTTGACCTGAGTTTTGAATGGGTAGATTGTTACCATTCGCGATTGAGACGGAATCTTGGCCAGAGTACGGGGTGGGGTTTTGAAGGGTGGAGACGTCCGAGGTGAGATGAGATGACGCTCCGGAGTCCAGAATCCAGTCACCGGTAGATGAAAATTGTTGTTGGACGGCCAAGGCCCGCTGGTTTGAGGGAGGTGCATACTGTAGATTGCATCTATGCCAGCAGTTAAGTGCCTCATGACCTGATTTGCCGCATATTTGACAGATAGGCCGATTGGAGGTGTTTCTTGAGGAGTTTTGTGTGTCAGCTTTAGGCAGATTTCCAGTTGTGGGCAGATTTCTTGAATTGAAATTCCGTCCGCGATACCGAGTAGAACGTCCTTGATTGTTTCTGGTGGAAAGAAATGCCGCTGCATCCGATTGAGCCTTGCCCTCTTGACACCGTTCATGCTGGAGATTGATCTCCTCGCTACATAGTAACGAGTACAGAGTGTCGAGACTGATGGGGCTCAGAGACGTTCTTATGGCTGTTTTGAATGGGTTATACTCAGTGGGAAGACCATTTAAAATGTATAGTGTTACATCCTCGGCGTCGATCTTGGATCCTGCGGCAGCAATGTTGTCCACGAGAATCTTGATTTGATCAAGATATTGATGAATGGTGCGATCCTTCTTCTGAATGTTGTGTAATTCATTTTTAAGTTGAATGACTCGTGAGCGATTTGTAGGTTGAAGTCGCTGCTCGAGTGTAGTCCAAACTTCGTGGGCGGTTTGGAGAGAGAGAACGTAGGGAAGCACGGATGAGGAGATAGTGGAAAGAAGGGCAGATACCAAATTTCTGTCAATAAGTTTCCACAGATTGTGTTCTTTCTTGGAAGACTCCGGAGGGCAAGCTGTGATTCCGGTGAGATGACCTCCGAATCCATTTGCAGTGAAATGTTGTTGCAGTTGCAGCCTCCATATTGCGTAGTTGTCAGTGTTCAATTGTGTGGACACCAAGTTCTTGGTGTTGGAGATCAAGAACTTAAGGGGTGCAGGGATGACGAATTCAGCGAGAGCCTCGGAGATGTCCGAAGTCGTCCGGTGCGAGGTGGCTGAATTTTGGTCGGCCATGGAGTTTAGATCTGAGCCGTGAAGCGACGATGCTCTGATACCATGAAGACGTTTGAAGATTACAGAAAACAGAGTTCTTGCCTTAGGCAAGAAGACGGAGAAGAGAAAAGCAGAACAGACAGAGAGAACTAGAAAAAGTATATTGTTATTAATGTTTGTAGTACAGGAGATGATATATATAGACTTAAGTAAAGCAAGAAAGTACAAGAGATAGATGACGTGGACAGTACTTTAACAAAGGGCGCCTCGAATCTACTTTCGCTCCCGCACTCTAACATAAGACACACTCGTTCTACAAACAATTACACGTAATCTATTTATACACATTATTGATATGTGCTCTTATTGTATTTTTTTAACATAAAATCTTGATCATTATCTATAAAAAAGGGATCACTGATGAAGAGTGCTCATGATATTATCTTATAAATTTAGTCAAAACTCTATTCCCTTCTATTCTCCCGAGCATTCTTTGTATATGAATATAGTTCTAATTTGACTCACCTTTTAACTCTCCCTCTCTGGAGTAATTATTGTGACCGGACATCGAATACGTCCAGAGACCAATAACAAAATGTCACATCACTTGGGTGCTCGTTATCGAGCACTCGGTATCGCTCGATATTTGTCCGGATTTACCGTTTATCCGGACGTAATAACTTTCCCTCCGTCTAAGAGTTCAGCTTGATCTATACTTTAGGAAAATTTTTAAATCCAATCCCTTTTCTCGCTTTACCTTAGTCTCGATCCTAATCTATATTACAGCCTTAGTATAACTCCACACAAAACATTGGATCAACCAAATATACTAATTAATTTATATACTTAGTAAGTAATCAATGATTAGAAAATAATCCTAATTTAATTAGAGATTATTTTAAGTTCTTAATTTTAAACTAGTCTAATTATTTACAAATCAATTAATTAATATATTTTGCAGCTAAATTAATTAAATAAGTTTAATAGCTCAAACTTTGAACCATCTAGATATTGCCTGCTTTGGTTTGACGGTTCAAAATTCTGCTCCATTGGTATAACTTTTCAGAAGATCACACATCACATGAGTCCTCCGATACAAGCCTGTTTAATTTTAAAAGTATTAACGAAACTCCAACTATTACATCAAAATGTGGCTCAACGTTTAAATGTTCAACTTGATTTTCATAAGGTTTCAAAATCTTCACCACTTAAAATAACTGACGTCCTCGTCATTTTCTTTAACCCATAATTTTCTATTAGACGAATAGGATTCTAAAGATAAGATATAATCTTTCGGCTATTATATTGCTCTAATACTATTTGTAAAAGCTCAAACTCTCAAACATCAAGATATTGTCCATTTTGATCTAATAACTTACGGTTTTTCTTTTAAGAGTATAACTTCCTAGAAGATCGTCCATCCCACAAGTGCTCCGATGCAAACACGCTTTACTTTGAAATTTCTAATGAAACTATTACGTTAAAAATTGTCTTTAAGTTTAAGCGTTCAACTACGATTTTTTCATAAGGGTTTCTCAATCAGTAATTAATGAATGATTATGATTAAACTTAATACAATTAATTATTACCTAAATTTTGATTAAGATGATAAAGGATCACTGAAAGTTTGATTATGTCGATTAAAAATAAGATAATTACTTAATGTTATCGATGTCCTTTGCATTAAATAATTAACTAATTATTGGATTGCATCTTTTAGCCTTCCTGAATTAAACAGACATTAGGCCAGAAAATTAATTACAACTTTTTTTTTTTAATTTTTACTACTCATGATTAAAGAATTAATAAACATTTTTTCTCATAAAAGTATAAAACTCCTAATTAAAAAAAACAATGAATTCTTAATTCTACTTAAAGAGAAATTATTATGTAGGGACACCGAACGTCGTCCAGAGACTAATCAAAATGCGCCACGTCACCCCCTCCTCGGAACCCGGCTCCGTACTGCTCGGCACCGCAGCTCCGTACCGCTTTATACTGCTAATGTGACGTATTCTGATTGGTCTCCGGACAATAAACTGCATTCGGCGTCCGCACAGAATAATTTCTCCTCAACGCCGGCCCAGTGTGAAACCACACCTATCTTGATATGAAAATGTTGAATCTTTCCATGAAGCAAATTCCCTCCTTGCTGCTCCTGTTTCCCCAACAAGAGCAACATCCTTCTTGATAGCTCCTTCCCAACTTTTTTAATCAAAATTTAATATCATTTGTGACACTAATGATTTTATTTTATTTGTGCAAATACTTCCGTGGTTGAGATAACCAGAAGACTTTGTTTCCTCATAGGCTTTCATTCTTTTTTTAAATCCAAATGAAATGTCCTCCAGGCTTTCATAGTTTATATAGAGTCAAAATGGTGAGCTCGGAAGCAGGGTGCTTTGTTGTTCTTCTCCTGCCTGAGCTTCTGTGCTCTTTCCTTTGCCTTCACCCGTTTCTCCTTCAACAGGTATGAACAATAGGGGAATAAGAAATCTATCTTCTTCTTCATTTTCGATTTCTGGATTTTGTTTATTTGTCTATGTTCTTGCTTTGATTCTTATATTACGCTTTCAGGTTTTGGTTAATGAGTGATGAATGTTTTTACAACTATGCATTATCTCTATGAGCAGCTTCCTATCTCGTCTTACCGTTCTATCTTTCTCAAGTGGCCATTGTATGTTGAGCTATTATTCTGTGCGAACACCGGACGGTTCTCCGGTCCGGTTAAACGCTAGGTACCCCGATGGCGGGATGCATTTTAATCGGCTCTGGACACCGTCAAAACTCCGCACAGAATAATAAATCCTCTATCTGACATGATTGAAGCACTAGGGGCTAGGGCTAAATTTGTGCACAAGATGCTAATGAATGAGCAAATATTAACCCAAAAGTTTTAGGTAAATGAGCAGAGGTCACTAGTAGCAACTCAACTTTTATATTGCTTGGTTGATGTTAGATTATTATATACTCCAATGTGATCTGGGATGGAATCAACCTTAGTTTTCAGAAGAGGCAAGTGACAAATTTATAAAAAAATATATAAGGGTGTAAAAATAATTTATTTTTGCACATAATCGTTTTTCACAGACTTGTTTGTGATTGTTAGAAAAGTTCAACATAATCGGATAAAAATAAAGAGAGGCCAAGAAGCTTTCCGATTTCTAAAGGAGCAAATTGTATGAAAAAAAGTCGGTTGAGGGTAAAAAATAAAATTCAGAAGTGACAAATTACAAATAACCTTTACTATATTAAAAGTTTAAAATTTTTCCAATAATATTTGTTTTTTCTACTTGATTGTCTTGGATCTATTGCTTTCTTCCTAATGATCAGCTTTAGTTCATTCTGTTTTTATTACTTAGTGATTGCTATCTATATCCATTCTAAGCTAAGAGCAAAATAAAATATTATTTAATCTGTTCTTACAGGACACCCTAAACTCTAAAGTTATCGAACAAGAAGAAATCTGGCAGATTGTGCAGTTGAGGTTGAGGAGCTTTGGTTAGTTAATTATTTTAATTTTGGTCTTTAAACTTCTTAAGCTACCTTGAGCTTTGCCTTAAATATTTTCCTTTAAATTTCACAGGTGGAGGGCTTTGGATTTTGCATCTTTGAAGCGCAGCTCTATATCATTTTTCAATGAAGAAAAGCCTGAGACCACAGCTTCACGTTGGGCCAGGGCTCGAACAAGGGCTGCAAAGGTAATGACAGAAACAAAATTATTATTATTGATGTGAAATCTTTCAAGAATTGTGTTCTTATGCATTCTCTTTCAAACTGACCTTGATTTAATTGTTCGCTCTTGTAATCCTTGCAGGTTGGTAAGGGCTTGTCAAAAAGTGATAAAGCTCAAAAACTAGCATTGCAGCACTGGCTAGAAGCTGTGAGCTTTCTATATATTTCTATATGATTTTTTTTTTTTTTTTTTTATGTTGGATAAGCAAGACTTGAGATACAACAACCTTGAATAGTTTTACTCTAAACTTAGGTTTCTGTTAGACCGGCCCCTAGTGGGCTGGTCCAGTCGACCCCTTCTAAAGGGCCGGTTCATGTTTATAGGAGAAGGGGCGGCGGCAAGAGGGAGAGAGAGAGAGAGATGGGGTGGGGTCCATTTGATTTCAAATTCAAATTTAGAACCAAAGGAGAGGGCGGCAAGGGCCTTTAGGTCTTTTTGTCTTGTTGTTTTAATTGTATTTTTTAAAAAAATATATATAATATAACAGTGTCACTGAACTAGGTATTTGCCAATTATAAAGAGTTTGAATGATCATATTGTCCTATTACTAAAAACGATCAGATCCAAAGTTCCAGACAAGTTTAACTGGTTTAGATCCCATATTGCAATGTTGTTGTTGTTGTTTTAATTGTATTTTTTTTTCTAATTGTATGCCTTAAGTATGGGAGGAGGATTAGGGTTAGGGTTATATTTGTTTATTGGGTTTTTGTGAGGGTTCTTCTTGATGTCTTGGGCTCTAGACTCATCTAGAGATTTAGAGAGAACGATCTTCCTCTCGAATTGAGGATCAATTGTATCTTTGCTTTCGTTGTTTCTGTTAGTTCTCTCTTTTGCAATCCAATTACAATTTGGAGAGTTCTCCACCAAATTTTGTGCGATTCTATTGCTGTTTTCTCTATTCTTGTTAGGATTAACTTGAAATATTCAAGCATTTCCTATTAGATTCTTTTTGAAATCTTATCCTTCTGCTTATATTAATTTAGTTTATGGTTAAACGAAGTCAAGTCCCATTTGAAATATAACAAGTAATCAACAATATAGATAGTGACTATACAGGGTATGTTGTAGTTGATAAACTCTCTACTACATTCAACCATTTTAGTTGACGTAAATTTCTTCTTTACTGCACCCATGATTAATCTTTTGATATTTACTGCAATGTTCTACAGATCGATCCAAGGCATCGATATGGGCACAATTTGCAGTTCTACTATGAAGTCTGGTTTGAAAGTGAGAGCACTCAACCATTTTTTTACTGGTAAGTTTGTACACCTTGGGCTTTTATCTTCTTTCCAAATGTTTAAGGCTTCGTTTAGGACAGCTTTCTTGCTGCTTCTCAAAGTTGCTTTCTAATAAAAAAATTAAAATTTTTGTACTAGAAAGTAGTTTTTAGAAGCAGCAAGAAAGCCGTCCCAAATGAAGCCTAAATTTCCACCACACCACCTCACTACTGCTGGAATAATGAAGGTTGGATGTTGGATATGGTAAAGAATTTAGTCTCAAAAAATGCCCAAGAAGCATTCTTCAGCAACAGTGCATCAAATATCTTGGCCCGGTATGCTTCTGAAGTTTTCATATCTTGTAAGTTCCAGTAAAACTATTGTAATAAATTTTCTTTCCTGATCGAAAATATTTAGTTGGTAATACAGAAGGAGAGGAGCTTATGAAGTTACAATCAAGGATGGGAAACTTATTTATAAGCTAACTGAGTTGACTGTACATACTGCTGATGATGCAAAATGGATATTTGTTCTGAGCACTTCTGGAGCTTTATATGTGGGACAGGTATTCTATAAATCGAATTGGCTTAAAGTTGAAACTTGAGACATTTCAGCTTCGTTTGGGACCGCTTTCTTACTGCTTCTTAAAGCAGTTTTTTTAGTAAAAAATTAGTACAAAAATTTTAATTTGTCCTAGAAAGTAACTTTAAGAAGTAGTAAGAAAGCCATCCCAAATGAAACCTTCATTTGCATTTTTCTCTTATTCTTCCTCTTATTTTGTGAGCAGAAGAAAAAGGGCAAATTTCAGCACTCAAGTTTTCTAGCTGGGGGAGCTACAACTGCTGCTGGAAGGCTTGTTGTCAAGGATGGTTTCTTAAAGGTATCTGCTATAATTCAAGAACATAGAAGAAAGAAGATTAGCAACATATAACCGATAGAAAACACTTGTAGATCTCAAGTATTTCCTATCAATTTTCGGAAAACATCGAGAAAATTCTTCCAAACTCCAATGAAAATAAGGGAAAACAGTATATTTTATTGCAAAAATCAACTAACGTAAGAAAAACAAACAAGATACAAGTGATCCTTAATTCGAAAGGAGGATCAATCTCTCCCAATCTCTAGACGCCGCTAGAGCCCAAGACAAACTAAGAGATCTCAAATTTCAGCCAAATTCAAGATGTCCTAACCCTAGGAAAATAAACTATTTAATGCATACAAATCAAAAGGAAATCCCTAAATAATCCATACATTCAATTTTTCCTCTTAATTCACCCAATATTCTTTCCTATTTGGCTCCCAAAAACTTGTTGCTTGATCGGCTTCGCGGGAGAGGCGGAGAAGTTCCGCCTCTATTCGCCTGGGCCGGTCCCGTGTGGACCGGCTGGACCGGCCTAAGAATAACATAGTAGTTTTATCGGTTAACTTATAGTACTTTGTCTTTTACAGGCTATTTGGCCAAACAGCGGTCACTACCTCCCAACAGAAGAAAATTTTAAGGAGTTCATAAACTTCCTAGAAGAGAATAATGTAGACCTCACAAATGTTAAGGTATTCAATCCTCATTTCAACTACCATGAACTATTTAAATGTTGAATCCCTCTGCATTCTAATTTAATCATATCTTTTGTGTAATTTATGCAGACATGTTCAATTGATGAGGATGAACGTTCCCTTGATAATTCCTCATCATTTAAGATGTTTAGGAGTAAGGATACTATGATGACCATGGAAATAAATGAGGCAGAGAAGGATCAAATGGTGGTAGGGTTGGCTGAATCTACAAATACCATTGATACTGAAAAGTTTGCTAAAGAGAATGAATTTGATACAGGAATTATATTGACCAACCTCCATTGATTGAATCCAATGAGCCGCTCGCTCAAAAATGGAGTACTGGAGCTGGCCCTCGTATTGGTTTTATGTTAGAGTACTCTTCTGATATGCAATGTCAAGCACTTGAGCAGGTCAATCTTTCAGTTGCTGCTGCTCCTTCAACTTAGACTAAGACTCCAATCCCATCTCCCAGGCCTAGTCCTGGAGTGAGGGTTTCTCCACAACTGGAATAGATGTGCATTGATGTTCCTTGCTAACGCTTCCAAAACCCAAAAAAAGAGAACATGAAACTTCAACTACTACTACTGCATCTTTTGATTATAATCGCAAAGCAAAACAAACCATTGATATGAGTTGAGATTTATCAGAGATTGAAGAACAGCTGATAGAAAGATCATTGTGTCCTTACTGATGTCGAAGATTGCTTTCATAAACTTCTTATAATGTACAATTGTATAAAAGATCTGTTCATTGTTCATTTTCTTGTTCATGCTGTCAGATATGTAATTAGTTAACAATGCTTTTTTGTAGATAAAAAGGGATTGTAGATAAAAGAAGCATACAATAGCAAGTTCTTATTTTCCCCATGCTAAAATTTTTCTCATAGGGGCTATTTGGTTGGCTGTAAAGTAAATACAATATAAAATAAATGCAGTGTAAAGTGAATGCAATGCAAAGTAAATGCATGATAATATTTGGTTGTCTATAAAGTGAATGCATGATAATTATTTTTTCTGTTTAGTTAGGTGTATGTAAAGTAAAGTAAAAACAAAAGATGAGACATTCAATCGAGCACCTAGTGTGCCTATTCCCAAACCCTCCAATTTATAACTATAGAGGTTTTGATGGTGGCAACTGGGATAAAAAAATGCAACTTTGTGTAAAGTGGAGACCCCTTGATCTGCTACCAGCAGAAGGCCCTAACTGTGGCACTAAGCATACGAAGTTGAATGATTATGTAGAATCAAAGATTGAGCAGTTCAAGCAAAAAAATCTCATTATATCATCTCTTCAGAAATACTAAGGTTTCTGGATAAATGCTATTTTTATTTGAATGAAAGACAAATAGTCTTAGATCAAGCTTCATAACTTAATGTCCTACGCGTGCACCATTAAATGTTGCAGCTGTAAATTGAAGAGAGCTGCTTTTGATTGCTTTGTCAAGGGTTGCAAGAGAAGATTCCACATCCCATATGCATATCAGATACTAGAATATCGTTGAGATACTAAAACCTATCATGTTAGTTGTCCTATTCATGCTTCGAGGAGGTTACATTGTGATGAAATGGAGATAAATAAATCCAACAATGTATCAACCAATCCTTTAGTTTCATTAGACTATAATACATAATCTATCACAAAACGACCTCATGCAATTTGGATATCCTCATCTAATCTAAGCAAAGATTTGAGAATTCGTGGATCCAATCTCTTGAAAGACAAGAAGATGGAGCTTGCATCAGAACAATGAAGTGTCTCGTGACTATTTGAATGCAACGTTATGATTCACCTGTAAGCAACAACAAGGAATCAATAGTAAAAGAAATTGTGAGCCACTGAAGTGCAACGCTGCACCATTGGATCACCAACACTTGTTCACGCAGACAAAAAGCATCTATAAGCTTTTAAATATGAATGTTGTGCACATTCAAATGATAGTTACCCACATAATTGATTAATTCCAAATATTTTGGAATGCCCCCCTAAATGCATTGCTATATATGTCAATGCGTTACGCCACCAGATTCACGACATTCATACAAATTGATTAAAGGCGTCAATAAAGCCTAAAATAAAGTACTACATACTTGGTAGCAATAGTTACCTGCATAGCTAGTTGCATTTAAAAATGCAAAACACCCCCTCTCATGCATTAAAATACACATTCATATGCATCACATAATATGCATGCCTTTATAGGATACAGAGGGTTTCATTCAAGTAATATCAGGCACTATTCTATCTGCATACAAAAATACCACATGCTGCAACTACATAATATGCAAATGCAAAAAAAGCAAAATACATGAGCCGATGTACGTAATATATGCACATACATCACATACACCCACTACATACATATATCAATCATATAATACAAAATGCATGTAACAGCATATACCAACCGGGGCCCCGACGAGCGTGTCGTAGGTACACGGGTGACGTTTGAGGAAGCTACACAGATTGAGAAATAAATTTAGATACCAACCTGATCCTCTATCAGTAAATTGATATAGTCGACAAGATTCCATCAACAAAAACAAAATTGCTTATGAACATCTCAATGATGATTGTGTTGAATATTTATCTCAACTGGAGAGAATCCTATATTTTCCGATGCTTTCAAGCATCAACAAAATACAAATCTTTTAAAGTGACTACAACATAACCTTGATGATGGTCTTATTTAATGTTTATCTCAACCGGAGGAGACCCTATACTTTTGAGGCTTTCAAGTTTTAATAAAATACAAATCTTTAAAGTGACTACAACATCACCCTGATGATGATCGTGTTGACAAAAAATTTGAGGGGACCATAAATATATTTAATACATCCCAAATGACCATAAAAATTTAAAATTCTAAAATAACCACCCAATACCAGGATATTTAAAATGAAATTAATCATCAAATGCTTAAAGAAAAAATATCCATCCACTTTCCATAACCGTTTGCAGATATAGATAAATATACAAATTAGTTCAGCTCAAAAAATGCTAATGTCTAGTCGAGAATATAAATAAGATTCATTCTTAATATATCTCTTACCAATACAGACATGACACATATCCTCTAATCTATGGTTTCACCGTAAAATGGCATCACATTGGTGTTTTTGCCGTTAAATGGCCCCACAGGTAAATAGTCATGATTGAGACCCTTTCACTAGGTGGTTTTGCTGCAAAATGACATCATTATATTATGATTATGATCATAGCTCGTATGTTCTCCAACGGTGTTACATCATTAAGCAATGAATTAATAGGATATAATCGATTCGGCGCAAAGCCCTATGTCAGCTAAAGTGGATTCAATTTATCCCCTTTAGATAAGGGTGTCAATTTCAAGTCACGGGTCAGATTTGGGTTGAACTCGAAATTGACCTAACACTATTCAGTTCAACCTGAACCCATCTCATTTTTGTGAACGGGTTAGTTTTTTGGACCCAAACCAGACCCGCTTTAGGTTTGGGTCAACCCAAACCTGGCCCGAAAAGTGTTGTTCGACTTTGTTAGCTGTGACAAGAGTTCGCTGGCTGGATCGAAAGTTACAACAGTTTGATCGAAAGCAACGACGGGAGTTCGCTCGTAGTGAAAGAGTCGCCACCTCACTGGCTCCTTCGTTCTTGTTCGACTTTGCTCCTTGGATGACATTTACTTCCGGTCGGATCGAAAGTTACAACATTTTGATTTGAAGCAATGAAGGGAGTTCGCTCGCAGTGAAGGAATCGCCGCCTCACCAGCACCTTTGTTCATGTTCGACTTCAACCCTTGGGAAAACGTTCACTTCTGCTCAGATCAGAAGTTACAACATTTTGATCAGAAGCAATGATAGGAATCATGGGGGACAGTGCCTGTGTCTCACCTACGGGTAGGATTTTGCCTCTTAATTGTAGTAACGGTGCTGATTCTTTGGATACTTCAGATCGTTTTAGTGCTTCTTTACCTAAGGGTGATGATCCTATGACGAAATTTTTTGGTTTGCCTCTTGTTGATGTTCATATATTCATTCTTTTAATTGATGCTTTGATAGCTCACGTACCTTGTAATAAGAGGGATTATGAGGTTATACATGGTGACTGGTTAAATGATGACATTTCATCAGCTGCTGGGGAGGAATTTAATGAGAAATCATTAGACTCTAGAGACAAATTTGTTCTAATTATTACTCAAATTATTGATACTGTTTTTTTTTTTTTTTTAAGAAAAGAAGCATAAATAATGTAAAATCAAGAAGAAATGATTA